CACATTTTACACTGTAACCTAGGACAGCATGTCTATGTGATACAGGGAATGATCTTAGAGTGCTGGTCCATGAAGCAGCTTCCATAGCTGGTTAGGCTACTGTTGCTCTGACAGCTGACGGGTAGCAAGACTCGGTGACAAACTGGTTCTGTTTCTGTCCCTCGGCTAGAATGACCGCCTAACCTGGTTTGGTTTTTTGAGTGTGTTTAGAGGATGTCTTCCGTTTTTTTGCCTGTTTCTTAAACTGTGCAAGTTCTTTCCAGACCATTTTTTCTCTTTTTTTTTTTTTTTTTTTTTTCTGTCTTTAAAATGTTGCCTTCACCTATGCTTTTCTTTCTGATGGAAGCAGCTGTTGTCAGCAAAAGGTGTTGGAGTGGCAAGTGTTTATCCATAGACAGCACAAAGTATCATTGGAGCCTGATATAACTGGATTTTTTTTGAGGGTGTCCCACAATGAATTCTACCTAGAGTCTTACAGGTCTTCTATGGTAAGAAATAGACATTTTGGCTGTAAATATTTTATATTATGACTTCCCAAAGCTATTACCAGTGCGTAATTCCTTAGTGAATGCTGTTTATCTTTTGTGTTAATGCAAAAATATGGTCAGGTGAAAATTGTGTTCCCTGATGTAAGTGGGAGAGGTTTTCCTTGGAAATGGAGGTGTGTGGGGAGTGAGGGTGGCTGCAGGGGTGAGCCACACAATACTGGAGTTTGCAGGAAAGCTATTCCTTTACTAGTACATAGCTCAATGTAGAGACACTTCTGTTTCACAGTGTACTTACTTACTTACCTATTCTTTATTGAACCTGGCTGATAAGCCTTGTTTCCATGCTACACTAGACTTTTCATTTGCTTGCGTGTTGGTAGAGTTTTCCATCTCCACTTGCTTCTTAAAGTGCCTCTTCTTTGAGGAGCTGTTTTGGCTAATAAAAAAACCCACCAAACAACAAAGTGCTATGGCTGTTAGCACGTTTTCTGGAGAAAAGGAACATATGTGCTCTGACTAGGGGTTAAATGCAAATTCTCCCTGGGTGAATTAAGGTCCAATTTCAAATGAAACCTAAAAAGTAAATCTTGCAACATGTAGTTTAATAATTTATGGAGTTAGTCTTGACTTTTGGTCAAATGTCTTTGTTACTTAAATAGCTTTGCTGCCAACTAAATATATCAGTGCTGCAGAGAAGACCTAGATGAGGTTTTTGGGGTGGTTTTGATGCCAAAATGCCAACCCTAGACGACATTTTGGAGTGTGTTGGAGAATTTGACAGGTTCCAGAAGCAAACCTTCTTTCTCCTGTGTTTGCTTTCTGCTGCCTTCACCCCAGTGTATGTGGGTGTCGTCTTCTTTGGGTTCATCCCTGAGCATCGCTGCTTCAGTCCTGGGGTGGCTGAGCTGAGCCAGCGGTGTGGCTGGAGCCTGGAAGAGCAGCTGAATCACACCGTTCCCGAGTGGGGCGGCCATGGGGCCGGTTTCAGCAGCCGCTGCAGGAGGTACGAGGTGGACTGGAACGCGACAGGCGTCAGCTGCATCGACCCCCTCAGCAGCCTCGTGAGCAACCAGAGCACTGTCCCCCTCGGTCCCTGCCGGGACGGCTGGGTCTATGACTACCCGGGGACCTCTCTTGTGACTGAGGTAAAAACGAATGCCCCTTTACCTTGTCTCCCGTGTTACAGACAAGCTGAGGGACGTGGGAGCGGGTTGGTGTAGCCTTGGTCAGCTTACCTGCATGAGGGATCCTCTCTCGCTGTGAACTTGTGCCAGGTGCTTTGCAAGTCATCTTCCTTCTGTCCTTGCTGTGAAGCAGTGCCTTGGCTGCTCGGGAGGTTTATGTTTCCAGCTGGGGAGCAAAACATATCTCAGCAAATAAGTCCCCAGGTAGATAAAGTTCAGTTCCAAATGAAACTCCTGTCAGATGAGAGGTCCGATTGGTGGAGGTGTGTAAACAGTGTCTGTGAGGGAGCAGCAACTCACAGTGCTGCAAACAAAACTGGTCGATCCCTGAGCGGGTGCACTGCACAGAGCTCCCAGTCTTTCTGGGGTCAGGGCCCAGATATGAAGGTCTTGATTTCTTTTCCTTTTTTTTTTTTTTTTTTTTTAAATGAAGAAAGTCTTTTAAAGTTTGTAACCCATATGATTGAGTGACTATGGGTGAAGGAAAAGGTAATCACCTCCCACAGTATCCCACAGGAATAAACTGCAGAAAAGCCAATGGCTGTTTTGTGTCCTCAGAAGATGTGTGAATAAACCGAAAATTTTACTTAAGCTACTTAGAGTACTTTGGGGTTTTAGGTGCTTTAACTTTAAAAATAAATCAGTATCTGGGATGACAAACTTGATTTCGTCACAGAAAATTCCACCAAATTTTTAGAGACGGTGAAAGTCAGGGCTTTCCCCCCCCCCCACATCTAACACAAACACAGGAGCAGATAAATTCTGTGTTCCAGCACCCTCAGCGTTTATAGTTTTGTAAAAGGTTGGAGCTAGACTTTTAGACAGTCTACTGTATGTGTACTTCTTTCAGCAAAGTATGGGCTGTGTGTTACTAAAGGGAGGAAGTGAGACACTTCAAACAGAGGGTGACCCAGAACTTCTACAAAGCAGCAGCGCAGCAGGCACATCTTGCTGCAAAACACTTGAGCAGATGCTGTGGTCCAGATGCCCTTACCATGATCTCTTGAGATTCTGGGAAGCTGAAAACTTGCAGTCTGTGTGGATTTGTACAGTCACGCTTTCACATTAGTTGTCTTCCCTTTTCTTCTTGAAGGTGGTGCAAGGCCAGGCCCTTGGGTTGCTTCCTTCACAGGGTAACCAGAAATGTCACATGCCTCTGCGTGCTTTTTGGCAATGTGTTTTGCTTCTGGATGTGACCATTTCCATGAAGGCTCTCAGGCTCTGTTGTCCCTTGCTCTGGCAGCCGAGCGAGGGAAAGGATAGTGCAGAGTAAGGAGTGTTACTTTGCTCAAAGGAAAAATTGACACGTGGAAGAATATCCTCATGAGAACCCTCACAGAGCATCAGGAGGAGTATCTGGGTTTATGTTGATTAGAGATGCATAGCTTTGAATAAACCCAGCTACCAGCAGGATGGGAAGGGATTCTCAGTCACATTAGGACAGGTTTTTTAGATTAACTTATTATCATAGAATCATAGAATTATTAAAGTTGGAGAAGACCTTTGAGATCGTCAAGTCCAACCACCAACCCCACTCTACCAAGTACACCCCTAAACCATATCGCCAAGCACCACATCTGAACGATCTTTAAACACAGTAAGGGATGGTGACTCAGCCATCTCCCTGGGCAGCCTGTTCCAATTCCTGACAACCCTTTCAGTGAAAAAAATTTTTCCTAATGTCAAGCCTGTACCTACCCTGGTGCATCTTGAGTCCATTCCCTCTTGTTCTGTCATTGATTACCTGTGAAAAGAGACCAGCACTATTTACTTAAGGAAGATATGAAAACTAAGGCCAGATGGCAAATACATGTGAGCGCCCATGTGGCATAAAGCTTGGCCCTGGTGCAAAATGCCTGGTCTCCTGGCAGGTTAGGCTGTAGGAGAGTGTAGCTGGGCAAAAAGCCAGAGCAGAAAGAAAATGCTGTGGCCTCATGGGCAGATGCAGATACCTCCTCCCACTCTCCTTCAGAGAGCTGGTGTTCCATGGGAAGCAGGACAAGGTAGGTAGGCTTCAGCATCTAGCATACTGTTAGTGAAGGCATCACCCTTAGTCCTGAGGGGTTTGCAGGGACTACTGTGGCATACAAGGGCATGAGACAACCAGAACTGCTTAGAGATGTTCACAACTGGCCACAAAAAAAAGCTGTTTGAAAAGCCCATGGTGATGCAACCAGAACTGCTTAGAGATGTTCACAACCGGCCACAAAAAAAAAAGCTGTTTGAAAAGCCCATGGTGATGATCAGGTCTGTGCTGATTTGGTCAACAAGGCCTAACACAAATTAGGGTCCTTATCTCGACAGGTAATAACTCAGTTATGTTCTTTCCAGTAACAAGAGATGAGACATGAATAGGAAATACCGGGAAACTGCACAAGGGCTAGGTCCTGTTTTTAGAGTTGGACACTTAATTAAGTCAGTAGGGTTTCTGAATGCTGATAAAAGAGGCATTGACCCAGAAACAAATTTAAATCTTTAACTGAAGTAAAGGAGACTTGCAGGTGTAAGCCAGCCCCTCATTTCACTCTTTTGTTTCTAACCGTGGTTGCTCTTTTAGTTTAACCTGGTGTGTGAGGACTCCTGGAAGCTGGACCTCTTTCAGTCTTCTGTGAACGCTGGGTTTTTTATTGGCTCCGTAAACATTGGCTACATAGCAGACAGGTATGTGTGGGCTGACAGTAAAACCCTCTGCCCTCCCTTATCAGTGTTCAGCAGCTAAGCTCAGGTAAAGGCACAGAGTAGTTGTGCAACTGGTATCACCTCTGCTCTTCTCGAATTAAGGTCAACCACCTGGACGTTCAGGCACAGTATTAAGAGCGAGTACTCTGTCTCTTAGGTCATACCTGGTGGTTTGCACGAATTTCTCCTGCCCTGCGAGTCCTGCAGAGCCTGTGAGGACTGTTTTAGGACCACATGCCCAACAGCTTGGGGGTGTTAACCAAAGCCAGGAAATGCTGGTTTGGAGCTTAGAAACACCTTGCTTCCTTTGGAGGCACTTGGAAATAGTAGCTGCAAAGATTACCAGATAGATAAAGCAGGAGTGCCGGTTTGGAAATCCATGTGTCCTGGCATCCTTAGCACCCCCATTCAGAGCTAGCAGAGGCACCACCCTTGCCCAGGTGACCAAAGTTAAAAAGAAACAAGTTCTGGTACCTGAAAGCCCTTATTCCCCCTTGGTCCCCTCCTGCCTAGAGACTGTTAATACAGCAGGCTCTGAGCAGCCTCAGCTGTGAAATGCAGCCCATTCACAGTAAGATCCATATAGATAAGATTTGTTAGGATTAACATTGGGGTATATAAATCTGTTACCGCGGTGTATGCAGACATATCAGAATAATAATATTAACCTTTACTTACTTTTCATGACATTATAAAAAACAAATTACTAAGCTGCCTATTCTGAAATTCAGAGATAAGTCACGGCCCAAATATATGTAAATATGGGACTATTGCAGCTCTTTAACTTAGGAAGTTTCTCTTCCTCTGAGAAGCCTGGAAGCCTATGTGGAACTGCAGAGCAATTGACACTGTAATTTCTCAGGGAATTGGAAAGCAGATAAGTGAGTAATGGGCTAAGAATAAAAGTCAGTGTGCATGTATCCCTTGTATAACAAGCTGGATTTTTTCCAAAGAGGCACAAAGCTTTTGCTTCTTTAAAACACCTATGTTTTCCTGGCTAGTGTTTGCTTTACTTGTATTGTCTTCCAATCCAGGTTTGGCCGTAAATTTTGCCTCTTAAATACAATTCTTGCAAACGTTGTCTGTGGAATCCTTCTGGTCTTCGTGCCCTCCTACCTGTGGATAGTCATATTCCGCTTCTTGCAAGGGCTGGTCAGCAAGGGCTGCTGGACAGCAGGATACATCCTGGGTGAGTTCAGACCTTTTCCCACAAGCAAGACTGGCTGCAGAAGACGAAGAGAAAAAAAAAACCCAAGCAAAAGCCATTTAAAAACCAAATCCCATGGCTTTTAAAAATCTTATATGCAAGCTGATATCAAGGAATTTTCTCTCTCTGACTCCGCAGGATTTTTTGAAGCGCTGTCATTAGGGAGAAGCAACGGTAGCCTTCAAAGATCAAGCAAGCGGTGATGCGTTAGGGCTGTTACCTTAAAATAGGCTTTCCCCTGCAGTGCAGCTGCCCTTTGCAGATCTGGGCCCCCAGGCTCCCCTGCCTCCCCTTGGGCACCAGGTGGGGAAGGTGACAGCCCAAAGGCAGATGGCAGCCACTCCAGCTGAGTCACAGACAGGGTGCTGACAGAGGAGGCCATTAAAAAAGTAGGCAGAGGGTGGGGAAAATTGGAGGCACTTTTATGACACAAAGAACATTAAAGGGCAAACAAGAGGCTTTACAGTCTAAAAATAACCAAAGAATAGCATGTACTTGCTGAGAAAAAGACAAGCTGCTTGGATATCTGTGCACTTGTCTGAGTGGAGGCCAACCCAGGGGATTGCAAAGCAATGCGAGGAGCCAGGCTGTGCTGGTGCTTCTCCCAGCGCTGATCGTGTCTGGGGGCGAAGCACGGCTGCGTGGCAGCAGGGTAGGGGCCAGCTCAGGACCACTTTCTGGTGTGTGGCAGAGCTGCCTGAGGCTTCTCGGACTTCTCTGGTGTGGAGTTCAGGCTCCCGCAAAAACGAAACAAAACCACTAAAAAACCCCAACAAAGAACCCAACACCAAGCAATCACCAAACCAACAAATAAATCTAAATGCTGCCCAATAGAGCATTATCAGGACTAGGATGGCAGGTGGCTCTACCAAATAGGTCTGAGTGATCCATTTAGCTGTGATGGTGGTAAAAATGTAAATGTCTGTGCTCTAAATTGTTAAATCTTTTAGTGGGGACATTTCGCTAATGCAGTTATCCAGATGTTTGATATAAATAAAATAAAAACATCTAGCCCATAGTCCAGACCATCTTCTACCAAGATGATTGTTCCCTCATATGCATATTCTAGATACTTGCTTGGCCTCTTAAATGTTTTTGTGGCACAAATGAAATCTTTGTCACCTCTTCTGAGGAGCTTTATGCCATTTTAGAATGTAAAATCTCAGGACAATAACTTGCCTTGTCCTGATATTTTTCCCTCAATTATACCTTATTACTTCTGGATTGTCCTTGAAATTCTGTCATGAGAGAGAAGCCACCCAGGATCAGCCCCAAAGCCCGTTTAAACTTAAATCACCTCCCTGAAGGTGGCCTATAACAAATGCTCAGGGAAGGGTACAAGGACAGAGTCAACCTTGTTATCGTTCTCCCTGGGACATTTGCCTACCTTTCAACTGCTTTTGGCTCAGTCCAAGGAGATGTCTTTGTCTCTGTGCATGGTTTAGCCAAGCAACATTAGCTAATCCATGGCTCCAAAACACAGTACTTCCTCCAGTTGCCAAATAAAGTTGCAAAAAAGCAAAATAAGTTGCTTTTTGTTCTTTTTCTAATCAGTTTGCTTTCTCGAAATCACACAACTGGATGCAAAATTTTGAGAAGGGTTGTGCCTGCCTGCTTTAATAGTTACTTTTAGCTCTGTGTTGACAAGACAAGCTGTGGGGCTAGCCCGTGATGTACAGTTGCAAAGTGCAGATGAGTTGTGAAGCCATCCATCCTGACGGGGAAGCTGCATGCCAGCCCATGGTACAAAGGTTTCTTATATACTTCCAGTGAGACGCAGGCTAAAAAAGGTGCATTTAGAAAACAAAGTATTCTAGTTTGTTATTGGGTTGGAGACATTATGCAGGCTGGCATTAGGTTTTATAAAAAAATCTGTCTGTGCACTTTGAAGAATGTTTGATTTACACAGAGACTTCCACAACAATGGACGGTATGGATGCCTTAGGCCAGTGTAAGAGCAGGAGCAGTGTTTTCTCCTCTGCTGAGAGCTTGGGTGACAGAAAAGCAAACCTTCCTCTGTGAACAACAGGGGACTTCTGTCTAGAGGCTTTAAGCCCAGGATTACCAAGACTGTTTCTTCAGGGTGCTAACACAGCATTGGTCTTCTAGCTTCCCTGCAGAGCAGGTTACTGCTGCACTGAGCGGTCATGGCTGAGCTGTCATTCACCTGTCTCTGTGTGTGTTTGCAGTGACGGAAGTTGTCGGTCCAAAGTACCGGAGGATGGTGGGCATCCTCTACCAGATGGCCTTCTCCATTGGGTTGTTGGTCTTTGATGGCATCGCTTATGCCATCCCTCACTGGCGGTGGCTGCAGCTCACCGTCACCCTACCGAGCTGCTTCTTCCTGCTTTACTACTGGTAAATGGGCTTTTGTTGTACCTCTGCCCACCACCCAAAAAAACAGTTTCTCCTGCTTCCTGAGGGAAATTTGGCACTGCTTTTTGGTTGTGTGCACCTCTTAGTGCAAAGAGGAGATACACAGCCAAAAGGACAGGGAAATAGGATGCTGACTTCTGTTTAAAAGAAAGACCACTTTGAAAAGCACCTGGAGACAGTGGTGCCTTTCATAAAGGAAAAATGCCTTGATATAATTTAGTGGATCCTATGCTGAAAAGATGGTGGTTGAGAGATTATTGAATGCTAACGTAACTGTAACAGGTTGTTTACATGTTCTTCTAAGGCAAAAAAGTTGCAGCTTTTTGTGGTCCAACCAAAAAAAGGCACATGGGTTCACCTTTATTTGGGATTTTATTCTCTTTTAATTGTTTGTTTTTTTTTTTTCCCATTTTGAATGCTTTGGATTTGAGAAATTGTTTGGATGGGTCTAGAGATTAGGAAAAGTAGAAAGACATTTGTTGTCTTCCTTTTTCCATGTTTGTGAATTGGTAAGCCAATTCTAGCTTACTTACTACTACTTAACCTGTGATGGCACAACTGGAAAATGACTCCCTAAGAGGATCCGGTTTCTGGTGAAGAGGATGAGTAAGATGATAGCACTAGTCTTGTTCAAAGTCCTACGCTGATTTATCTTTAGTAAACTCATCTCTGACTACAGTCACTACCACAGCTGCTCCTCTTCCCATTTCAGCAGTGGGATATACTACTTTTCCTGATGCGGGGGGAGGAACACACAAAACTCAACCAAACAAAAACCCCACCTGCCTCTATTGAACCAAAGCACCCCACAGTCTCCATACATGGAAGTCCTATGTGGGTTTTGTTTTGGTATATAATAGTATCCACTCACATTGTAGGTGCCTCCCAGAGTCTCCCAGGTGGCTGATATCTCAAGGGAAAAATGACAAAGCTATGAAAATTGTCAGTGATATGGCCAAAAAAAATCGGAAGAAGATGCCTTCCCATTTTGAGGTGAGCTCAGGGTTTGCTTGCGCATGTAAGCATCACAACAGTATCTTCCATCAGTTCTTCCCAGTGGAAACTTACTATACTTCATACTGGCTCTTCTGCAGGATATTAAATTTGAAGAGGAAGATGGTGGAAAGCAGAGTCCTTCATTCATTGACCTTGTCAGGACACCACAGATGAGAAAAAACACACTCATTTTGATGTACAACTGGTAAGGGGATAATGGTGGAGAGCTGTTTCTTGAAGCTCTGATTTTGAAGGCTTCAGCAGGCCACGGAACCTCTGTTCTCTGACTGACTAACGAAGCCGGGATGCTCTTCTCTGTCCAGGTTCACAAGCTCCATCCTCTACCAGGGGCTCATCATGCACATGGGACTAGCGGCTGGGAATATGTATCTGGATTTCCTCTATTCTGCACTTGTGGAGTTCCCAGCTGCCTTCATCATCATTGTCACCATTGACCGTGTTGGGCGGCGCTATCCCTGGGCTGCGTCAAACCTGGTGGCTGGAGCTGCCTGCCTTGTTACAGCCCTGGTCCCAGAAGGTGAGTCACCTGGTGGTGGCTTCCAACCCTGGTGCTGGCTTCCAACCCTGGTGCTGCCCCCTGGGAAGAGCACCCATCTCTCCCTCTCTCCCTTTCCCTGAGGTCCAGGCCCGAATGTTCCCAAACACACGCCTGCCATTGGGTGCTGACCTTTAGTGGTGGTCCTCATGCTGCAGAAATAAAATGAGGTTGATTTGTAGGACTGCTAATAATAAATCTCAAAGCACCTGGGTCCCCTGTGCACTTTGGGAGGGCTCCTGGGCCACAGCTCATGTGTGTGCTGACTGTTCCCACTCCTTCATTCACACATGTGAAACAAGGCCCCTTAAAAATATCAAGTGACATGAGATCAGAGGTCCCCCTAAGATAATACTGGTGTATTAAATCATTGGGATACTTTTAAATGTGTCGAATGCATTTTTTCTGCAGACATGCATTGGCTAAAAGTGATTGCTGCTTGCATTGGGAGAATGGGAATCACAATGGCTTTTGAAATGGTTTGCTTTGTAAACACTGAACTGTATCCAACATATATCAGGTAGGTGCATCCTCCTCCCCATTGGCCTGGAAACAAATAGTTGAGGCCGATGTGTATGTTATATTTTATACTAAATTAAGTTATCCTCAAATACTTCAGAGCTACGCAAGTACTGCTGGGCATAAAGTAGGTGGAGCACAATTATAATGCTTTAAAAATGTGGCTTAATAAAGAAAATAAATGTACTTTCAGGCAGATGAAAATTCATGTGACTGAAATAAAGGGAAAGTGGACACAACCGGGGTGGATGAGGGATCTGAATTCCCACAGAGTGCTTGTATTTGTACTGTGCAAGGGTCAGAGCTGTGATCTGTCCCCTTTTATCTGCAGTGCTCTGATGCTAACGTGACCCCTTTGCTGTTGAACCAGGAACCTCGGGGTGATGGTCTGCTCCTCCTTGTGTGATATTGGTGGAGTCATTGTCCCATTCATTGTCTACAGACTGGTGGAAGTCTGGCATGATCTGCCGCTGATAGTCTTCAGTAAGTGCCACCTTACCTCCTTGCTGGCCGGTCCTGGGGTGCAGCAGTGGGGCCCAAGTTTCAGAGAGGGAAAAGCTACTGAGGAAGTTACTCGAAGTTCAGCAGAAGCTTTTTACTCTCTATGCAAGCCATAGCCTTCAGTTTATAACAAGCTGGAGCTTGTTTATTCATTCATGTCTCCTTTGCCCTTATTATTGTTCCTTGCGTTTTAAAGGAAGTTAGAGGTGAATATAGGTTCAACAGATGGCAAAGAGCTGAGAAACATTTTGATGAGATTAATGTTTGATGGATTCAAATCAGATGAGTTACTGCTCTTCTGTGAAGTATATTGTCTCAGTCCAGGAGCCAAAACCTAGAATTTCACATAATTGCCTGTTTAATGGACTACAAGCGTAGCTGTTACACTTCAGCTTTCCTGACAGTCTGTTAACGGGCTATTCTCCAGCTATTTGGAAAGAGGTTGGTAAATAAATGCAAGATGAGTGTTTGCAGACTAGTGACCTGAACCCTCAAGTCAGGATCTGCAAAACTTTCTGTATCTTATTTATAGAAAAATGTCTTGAATATGCAGTTTTTAACAGACAGGACATTTAGAAGGGTGCTTGATAGATTTAAAATATAGACTCCAAATATGTACAAAGCGGGTAAAAGAAATTATCAATGGAGAAGTTAGTCACATTGTGTAGGAAATGTATTTTCTAATCTCAAGTGAATAGCAGAAAAAAAAGAATGCATTTCCTGGTATACTCTCACACTAGGAAGGGTTCTTTCCTCCATAAAGGAAGGATTGTCTGTCCAGTCTGATGCCCTAGTTCAGTGCATAACTCACAACTGAACTTGGCTCATTGCTGTCTCCATATGACAGCCACATCCTCCAGAGGTGGCATGACAATTTTGCGTGTAGACCCTTGATGTGCACATCTTGTTGGAAGAACAAAATAGAATTCTATTTACTGGTGCTTTATATCAGGCAATAGAAAGTGGTGTAAATGCTGGAAATTGGTATATTCTAACAAGCTCCTCGTGCATCTGTTCGATTTAAAGCTGTTCTTGGTTTGATCGCGGGCGGATTGGTGCTGCTTCTACCTGAAACTAAAGGAAGAGTTTTGCCTGAGACTGTTGAAGATGTTGAAAACTTTCACAGGTGAGTCAGGATGATGAATTTTTAGCAGCTTTCACTTGAAATTGTGCAAAATCCCTGCCCAGGGCTCCTTGGGGAAGCCCAGGGGTTACTTGGCTGCCTCCTATGCTTCCAAGAAGTTGCTAGTTAATTCCCAGACTCTAGCTGGAGAGATTTTGGACTCTCTTTTTACCACTCATCTACCTAAGTCTCTGAAAACAAGCAGCATAGGCCTTTACTGGCCTGGGAATAACTGCGCTAGTCTCTCAAACATGCTGCAACGTTATAAATGTCATTTGTGCTTAAAGAAGACTCTAACTGTGGAACTGAAAAAGGGCAAAGTTGATAGCAGCTACTTGTGTGGTGAGTGAAGCACCAGTATCAACTGAGGAGTCAGAACAAACCTAGATGCTCATTTTCTTTGGGGGAGAGGCAGAGCAAATGAAGAACTTGAAGTTAGGTGCTCACTGAGCACCTTCATTCCTAGTTTGCTGCTCACATCTTGCTATTCTTGCAGGCAAAGTGCTCCAAAGGCCAAAAAAATCTATCTCCACGTCCGAACATCAGAAGTAGCACATGGCTGAAGAAGGCATAACTCTGTACAGTCAGCTTCAGGGGACTAACACGGAAAGGCAAATTGGAATAAATACTCTCTTGAAGGTTTTGCCTTTTTTTTTTTTTTTTTTTTTTTGCTTATCCTTTATTTACAATGTTTGGGGTTTTCTGATGGGATTATCCCTACAACTATATAGCTGCTTCCACCTCTGTACACTATAATATAAACATGGTTTAGGTCTAGTTGTGTGGACCTCAATATGGGCGCAGATCTTAACTTGGGGATGGTGGAGTCCATCCCAACAAAACTTCATAAGCCTCCACGAAGTCTGAATTGTTTTGCCTTACAAAGGGGCAGCACCGTATAACAGAGATTTACCTCTGTTGTGGAACAGTGGTGACTCATACAATCATGTTACAATCTGCAACAGATCTGCACAGACTTTTTTTTTTTTACTGTGTGTTATGGTGTTCATGTGAGTCCATATGCTTACACAGTAGCCCTCATTGGGGATTTTATTGGCTATCCCCAGACTCACAAGGATGGGCATGTGGCAACTCCAGGACATGAAAAGGGGTGCATGGGAGGAAGACTCATAGTCCTTCAGAAGGTAATAGCCTTGTTCAGTTTTCAATGTGTAACCACTGAATTTTCTTCTCTTGTTAAATATCGTCCTCGTAGAGGATAATCTATACTTTTTTTTTTTGTGTGCAAAACTGTTTTGCTAAGCCTCCATAGCATTATAAATGTATGCATAACCAGACATGCAGAATTTTATTAAAATAAAATTTGACTTTTTCCCTGTAGTCAGGGAAAAAGCATTACAGCCACCAGGGGAGGGACTGAGAGCCCACCAGAGTCCTGCTTCACTGGAGACTTAGGGTGGGACTGGGGCCTGGACAAAGCTTTATCTCTACATGTTTGTAAGCAGCAGCCCTGCCAGGGGCACCTCTTTGGAGTGAGCCAGGCTCAGGCTTGGGGAATTGCAGGACTCTGACCAGGGATTGGGCCAGGAGTCCTGTGCCTCAGGGAACATTAGGGACAACACTGGGTCTTCCAGGAAATATCCAGCACCTTCCACAAATGTCCTAGTCTATCCCATTAAGCAACCATAACAGATTTGTGGTTGCAGATGAAAACACGCACAAGGGTACTGTGGCTCCCTTTGCTGTTTGTATGGCTGGTTTCTAGTACTTCTGGGAAACACTGTTTTTCAATAAGGATGCTGTAAGCAGAACACAAGATGCTGCCACCCTTTAATGATCATCTGCAGGGAGACATCTCCCAGCTGAGCAAAGTGTTGCTGGACTCTCATAGGTAGGGTGAAAGTCCCTCAGGATTGCTTCATGGTGTGACAGTATAGTGACCTTGCCCTTGCTTTCAACTGTCCTGAGCCCCAGTTAATGTTCAGTTGCTGTGAGGGCCTCAAAGGCAGGGAAGCATGCTGTCCAGCAAAGCAGGGCTGTGGCAAGGTTGCTGTGAGAAGAGTAGGGACAGATTGGGAATGATATGACTTTGACCTGAGCAGTTGCAAACCCAGTATTTGCTTCAGGGTCAGAGTGGAACAAGCTGGTCCTGAGATGGGCAAGAGGGACAGTGAGGTCCTGCTGTGGTTGCAGAGATGTCTCTGCTCTGCAACAAGAGAAATCTGTCAGAACAGCTGTCTTTACTATAGCTCATTGATTCAAAACCTGTTGAAAACTCTGCAGAAACAAAATAGGGGAGGTGGCAAGAAGTCAAGCAAAAGCAAATACTGGGATGAATAAATGACTAACTCCAGAAGCTGACTCTGAAGACCCTTACCCATCACACTGGCATTTCTTTCCACAAGCACTGCTACTGCCACAGCAGGAACTGCAGAGGTGGCAGGCTCTGGCATGCCTTCCTTTTGCAGTCACCTATGAGTTATATCAGTTATATCGGCATTTACTTCTGGTGCTACCTTAATGAGCATGAGGGCAAATGTGCCTCATTGATTTCCTTGTTGGTGACCTTGTCCAGTCATGTACTGCTTCCTGGAGTTGGGAAGTCAATGAAATATGTCTTGCTCTCAGAGTGCAAGACAGCTTTTGTGTCCTGGGCGTGCAGTAGGAGTGGTTCTCCTCTAGGGTATGAGACAAGCTGTCTAAGATAAAACAACAGTTTGCCAGCTTCCCTTCCCCCTAATAGAGGCTGAACCTTGACTGCTCCTGGGACTGCTGGAGCAAAACCAGCTCACTGGCAGGGCTGTTCCTGGACTTTGGGAAGGAATACTTCAGGGCCCAAACACAGACTGGCCCAGGCAGCCCAGGGAGCACTTGAACAGAGTTGTGTCCAGGTTAATGAAAGTGAGACCAGCCTTTTGAGAAGACCCTGTCCTTCACCCAACTACTAAAAAACCAGGATTACATAAGGACTGTGCCTAAAGAGAACATTAAATCTCCATGTTTCAGGGTACCCACTAACCTTCAGTAACTGGGTTTTGGAAACAATTGCTCCTTACTTTTACGAAGTTTCTGGTCTTCTCCCTGGCAGTTGTGGTCCAGCATGGCACTGTTCTTGTCCTCTGCTGTTGCTCTCAGCACCAACATCCAAACACCACCATGCAGCATAGCTGCTATTTGGAGACTCCGGTGCTAATTTTATCCCATCAAACGTGGCCATAGGCTCTGTGGTGTATCAGAGACTCTTTAAGGCTTCTTGCCTGTAGGCTGTAATCTTAACATGGTTGTTTTGTCAAGGTGTTCTTCATAGAATGGTTTGGGTTGGAAGAGACTTTAAAGATCACCTAGTTCCAACCACCGTGCTGTGCGCACGAACACCTTCTGCTAGACCAGGTTCCTCAAAGCCCCATCCAACCTGGCTTTGAACGCTGCCAGGGAGAGACATCCACAGCTTCTCTGGGCAACCTGTTGCAGTGTCTCACCACCCTCACAGTAAAGTATTTCTTTCTAATACCTAATCAAAACCTACCCTCTTTCAGTTTAAAGCCATTCACCCTTGTCCTGTCACTACCCTTCTTGATAAATAGTCCCTCCTTATCCTTCCTTTAGGCCCCCTTTTAAGTACTGGAATGCTGCTATAAGGTCTTCTTGGAGCCTTCCAGGCTGAACCACCCCAGTGCTCTCAGCTGGTCCTCACAGGGGAGGTGCTCCAGCCCCTTGATCTTCTTTGTGGCCCAACTCTGGACCTGCTTGATCAGGTCCATGTCTTTCTTGTGCTGGGGGCCCCAGAGCTGAACATAGCACTGCAGGTGGGGCCTCATGAGAGTGGAGTAAAGGGGGAGAATCACCTCCCTTGACCTGCTGGCAATACTTCTCTTGATGCAGCCCAGGATGAGATTGGCTTTCTGGGCTGTGAGCGCACATTGCTGGACCATGTTGAGTTTTTCATCCAGTGGCACCCCTAAGTCCTCATCTGCAGGGCTGCTCTTGATCCACTCATTTGATTTAATTTAAGGAAACAGTAAGTTTGCTGTCATGAAAGTTCAAGAGGACAGCACATGATAGTTGAATGGCCAAGTCCAGAGAGTTGTGGTCAATGGAGTTAAATCCAGTTGGCGGCCGGTCACGAGTGGTGTCCCCCAGGGCTGAGTACTGGGGCTGTTCCTGTTTAACATCTTTATCAATGATTCGGACAAGGGGATGGAGTGCACCCTTAGTAAGTTTGCAGATGACACCCAGCTGGGTGGAAGTGTCAATCTGCCTGAGGGTAGGGAAGCTCTACAGAGGATCTAGACAGGCTGGATCGCTGGGCCAAGGCCAATTCCATGAGTTTCAATAAGGCCAAGGGCCGGGTCCTGCACTTCGGCCACAACAACCCCCAGCAGCGCTACAGGCTGGGGAGGAGTGGCTGGGAAGCTGCCCGGCAGAGAGGGACCTGGGGGTGCTGCAGTGTGATCAGGTGGCCAAGGCAGCCAATGGCATCCTGGCCTGTATCAGGAACAGTGTTGTCAGCAGGAGCAGGGAGGTGATCGTGCCCCTGTACTTGGCACTGGTGAGGCTGCACCTTGAATACTGGGTGCAGTTTTGGGCCCCTCTCTACAAGAAGGACATTGAGGTGCTGGAGAGGGTGCAGAGGCGGGCTACCAGGCTAGTAAAGGATTTGGAGTATATCTCATATTAGGAATGGCTGAGGGATCTGGGTCTGTTTAGCCTGGAGAAGAGAAGGCTGAGAGGAGACCTTATTGCTATCTACAGCTACCTGAGAGGAGGTTGTAGTGAGACGGGGGTCAGTCTGTTCTCCCAAGTAACAAGCGATAGAACAAGGGGAAATGGCTTTAAGCTGCACCGGGGGAGGTTCAGGCTGGATATTAGGAATAATTTCCTTACTGAAAAGGTTGTCAGGCACTGGAACAGCCTGCCCAGGGAGGTGGTGGAGTCACCATCCCTGGAGGTGTTTAACAGACTAGTAGATGTTGTACTTAGGGACAGGGTTTAGTGGTGTTGGTAGAGCTAGGACAAAGGTTGGAATTGATGACCTTGAAGGTGTCT